ATATAACGCAAAACAATATAAAACACGCTCGCCGCTAATTTACCCCTCACCCTACCGCCCCTACACACCAAAAAAAAAAAAAAATAAATAACAAAAAAACAAAAAAAAGCCACGAGTAAATCAGTCAAAGTACAAAATTGTCGAATTGCGACAAAACATAAAAACAAAAGCAAAAACAAAAAAATATACTAATAGTAATAATAACAACAATAAGAGTTAATAGCAACAATGAATGGTACAAGCAACGGCAGTAAATAAAAGAAAATAATGGCTTTAAAAAATACGGCAACAGCAACAACAACAGCAACAACAAGAAGCAAGTAAAGCAAGCAAACAAAATGGGTGAAAACAGCAAAAAAAGATGCGTTTAAACAACATAAACATATACACATACACACATACACACATACACACATACACACATACACATACATAGAAATGTTATAACACGAGTCAGCGGAGGGGAAAATGTGGAGCGTCGCGCCGCAACGCATATCGAACGGTGGTATTGTGTACCGTATGCCGCGTGCAATCGCAAAACACCCAATGAAAATTGCACCATTTCAGCACGTCAGTCAGCATTTAAAACACACCGTAGCGTGCAGAGTAGAAACTGAAGCAAATCTTTCTACACAAAAAAAAAAAAAAAAAAAAAATTGATATAATAAAAACAACAACTAGTGAGGAAAATGCTTACATAAAAATATGACTCTTTTTATACTATACGCAACACATACTACATACATACATACATACGTACATATATAGCTATATACTAATTATTTGCTTTTTTATTTATATGCTATTTGTTTGTTGTTATGAATTTTTTTTAACGTATGACAAACCATTTTCTTTATCTAATGCTGGAGTTGTGTTCGGCCAATCAATCAAATTTCTTTTCAGCAAAAACAAAATATAAAAAAATGAAACAATAAAATAACACCTAAAAAGTGGTGTATTTTCTATTTGTTTTTTTTTTTTTCTCTTTTTTTACACTTCAGCGAATGGCTCAATCGTCATTTCAGCTTCACTGCGCAGGTACAGTCAGCCAATAAAGTCTACAGACTCTCACTTTGGATTGCACTAGTTGTCAGCTATCCTGAGCGATCGAACTGAAATGTGATATTTAAGTATTCTTTTTTTTAATAATGAAACCGCCAAAGAACTCACAAGCAAAAAAATAAAAAAATAAAAATAAAAAAATAAATGAATTCTTAAACTAATGCCAATATTATATACATAATTGGCGCTTTATCACCGCTGAAGCGATTTTCGGCCAAGCTCCTCCTCCAATTTGTGGTTTTGCGTCTTGATATTTTTCCAACAAATGGAGGGACCTACAATTTATACTAAGCCACCTTCGATCGGCTGATGTTTTTTTTACGAGGAGCCTCTATTTCATATCCAAAAGACACTCGGAAGGGTGGGCATTCGCTTCAGAGGGGCGACCGGAATTAAAAAATTTAGCTTAATTTTTTATTTAAATTAATTTTTTATAAGCGGCCTGCCAATATTATATTTTAATAATTTTGAGAAGGCGCCGCACACGAGCATTTCAACGAATTAATCAGTTATGGGAAGAAAAGAGTGACTTTTAGTCAATCAAGTAGAAATAAAACGTATATAACTTTATATTATGGCCAAGAACTTAACTATATTTTAAAGATAACCGTTTGCCATTATTTTTTGGAAAAATAATTTCAGACAAGTGACCATCGCGACTGGTACGAATAACTTGTTCGTTTAAGCTTATCGACAAGCGACCTCACATAACCTCACAAAAAAGTCACACAGTGTTAAACCGCACGATTTTGGAAGCAACTCCAAAGATCTGCGCTCCCCAGAAGTTTTTTTAAATAAATTGATTGTTTCGTTGGCTTTATGGAATGTACCGCCAAGACGGCGGTTCGTACTAAAAATCGTCCACATCAATTTGCTCCAATTTAAGCTTAAATAAGTCATTGCCCATGGCTCTATAGCCTTCTCTATTGACTGTAACATTATGACCGTTTTATTTTTGGCGTACAACAATTCCCTCTGCTCATAGAGCACACCAAATATTGAATTTTTGAGAATGAAACGACGTGCCAACAATGGTTATTGACTTATCATATCATTCCAAATACGAAAACTAGCTTGTTAATTCAACCAGTCAACCGAAATTGAGCTCTTTCACTGAACAAATTTTTTTTTACCATCTTCCAAGCCAGAATATACTCATAAAGTATTTATAATTGGCGTTTTATAGCCGCTGAAGCGATCACTCGGCCGAACTCCTCCAATTTGTGGTCTTAATGTTTTTTCCAATTTGCCATCACCAAATCGCAAAGAGACTACTGTATAACCTCAATAGCCTCACGAATTCCATCTTTGAGGTCTTGAATGGTTATTGGCCTGTTGGCGTAGAAGAAGTCGAAAGGTGTGAAATAACAAGATCTCCGTGGCCGATTGCGATCACTGCTTCTTCAAGTTAACACTATCCAGAAAGTTATCCGATAAATTATCGATGGTTTCGTTGCTTGTGTGCCATACAGCGCCATCTTGTTGAAAGTAAACGTTATCCAATTCAATACTGTCCCATACCGATCATAAAAAATCATAAATCATCTATCAATAATTTTTTTTTTCGAAAAACCCCACCGGAAAATAAACCGCACCAAAACAGTTACACGTTGAGGATAGATGGACTTTTCAGCAAAAATCTTGGGTTTTCTAAGCCCCAGATTCGACAGTTTTGCTTATTGACTGGGACATCGAGGTGGAAATGGGCATTATGAAGATCAAGATGATTTTTCGATGAACCCTAGAACCCGATCAGCAAAGAAACGACGTTGTTGATGATCACCCGCCAAATTAACATCTCTTATTGGAAACCCCTTTATATGAAATAATTAATAATAGCAAAATCATTAAAAAGGTATACACTCAGATTCTTGTCTTTTGATAAGTGCAAAAATAGTTTTAGAAAACAATCCATATACGTATGTATATGCATGTATGTATGTATGTATTTTTAAAAACCTGGTATGTGTCTGAAATTACTTCATTTATTATTATTATTTTTTTTTGTTTTTGTCACCTGTTTGTAAACGAGTATAAACTCATTCGTTGTATACTCGTACATATATACATACATATGTATGTACATATTATTGCCTTCTTATCACGCGAGCGCGTTATTTGCCTTTTTTATTTCCTTAACTACATATATACATACATACATATGTACAAGTTAATATAAGCGTTGTATGCTATTTGTGTATGTAAATTTAGCTAAGCAGATTAGTAAGTATTTCTATATAGATTTTAAATACTTGTTATTATAATTGCCTTTACATGCCTTACATTTATACCGACTTATGTAAATACATGTGGCATACATAAGTACATACTCGTACATACATATATAATATAATTCAAAATGGTTTGAAAAAGGGCTGGTTTATCAATTGTTATATGAAATTACTACAGCACTCATACATACATACATACATAAAAAAAAATTTGCAAAAATAATTGTCAATAAATTTGCAATTAATTTATTGCACAAATTGATATTGTACATATGTATGTATGTGTGTATGAATTATATACATGTGTAGGAGTAAGTCTGGAATCTGTTTAGAGTACATTAAGTGGTATATATGTATATATATATACAGGTACATGCTAAGTATGTATCTGCATGCAGGTATTCGGTATATCTGTAAATAAATATAACTCATGCTTACATATATATGTACATACATATATAATACTAAACACCTTATGATAATACTCCTATATACACATACATACATGTGCATGTACTCGCGCGGTTTTATACGAACTAATAACAACTGTGTCAATTATCTCCTACGAACATACATATGTACATGCATACATATAGTTCATCACATTGTTTACAGGCCATAAAGTTAAAGCGTGTCACTTCCTTTGGTTTTTGTAGGGTGTAAGACACATTTGTCGAAAACATACCGCTAGAATAACTATTAAGTATAGATAGGTTTTTTTTGTACAACCGCGTGCATACATACATAAGTATGTACGTTACATAGATAAGCATGTGCGAGCTAGCATAGAAATAATCTTGATATTTTTGAAGGCCAATGTTAGTCAATATCATACATACATGCAAACATACATTCATACATACATACATATGTACAATAATATACATACATACATATATACAAATGTTTAGAGAAGTACGCATATCGGAAAATATCTCTACTTCAATAGCTATTTTCTTAAATTTCTTCGCTATAAACAAAATGCATATACTCATATGTATGTATGTAAGTAAATGCATATGTATGCATATATTGATAACCGATACGCTCTTTGTATTGTATCTTCTCTACGTTAAAGAGTTTCTAGGTGACAGAGCAGCGATAGCGTCAACAGCGTGCCAATACAAATTTATTTTTGGGGAGAGCAGTGAAAAGTACAAAACGTGCACGAAAACAAATAAAAAATAGAAGTAAAAGCGAAATCAGCGCAAAAACAACCGACAAAAGATAGGTTGACAACGTCGACGACATTAAATTACCACAAGCCACGGCAGCAACGAAACCTACATTTGCATATTTACTTATGCAGATATGTGTAGATCCATATGTATATCTATAGAAAATAAATGTACATATATGCATACGTATATATGTATATATGTATATTGTCAGACCTTTTGTAGTAAAAGCAAAGCAGGGCAACGTCAATTGGACGACGCCGCTGGCGGTCCGTAGATATGTACATATACACATATGTACATACACGTATGTATATGCATACATTGATATGTATATTGTAAATTTTCACATGAATAAATGCACACATTCATTTATATCACTGTCACTGTTATTGCTATTAATATTGTTAGCAGCAGCTACGCCACTGTGGGGCTACCTAATCAAGCGAGCATTGCCTATTCAGTGCTTAGCCACAGCAATTGTTGTTGGAGGAAATTGTTGCCCAATTTATGTACATTTGTTACTCACCTATACGTTTGTGGTTTCGATCCAAGAGCTTTGTCCACCACCCCGTCCACAATTGACAGTTTGTTGTTCGCTCCCAGCGTTGCTACTGTTGCACTTGCTATCACTTCTGTGCTTATCGTGGTGTTTTCTCTATGACTCGAGCTTCTGCTGAGCTCGTTAGGCACACGGTTATATATTAGTTCTTATTATTGTGATTTTTTGCTGTTATTTTTTTTTTTGTTTTGTTTTGTTATTTAAATGTATTTGTGTTGATGGCAATTGAGTTAAGAATATTTAATATTCTTCTGTTGTTATGCTATCGTAGGATGACAGCGAATTGTTGCGTTGTCGCTGTTGTTGATTTTCTTTTTATTTTTCAATTTACAAATGGAATTGAATTTTCAACATTGCACTTTGAGCTAAAGCTATTTTATACACCATTTGTCAACCTTAAACATTTCGCCGCAACAATAAAAACGGAAAAGAAAAGCAAAATAAAAAACACCAAAAAAAAAAACACAATCAGATGTGCAACGGCGAGTCAATAGCCACTGATGTAGAGACACAGACACTTGGTATTTCCATTTCATGCACACATTTTGTGCTTATATTTATGTTTCAATTTTACTTTATTATTGTTTTTCGCAAACTTTGCACTTTGCTTTTTTGCCTTTTCGCCTTCTTAAATCAATTTGTATCATTTTCCATTTCCATACACATACCGACGACACTCAAGCCAACCAAAAAAAAAAAAAAAATCAACAGCCGAGCGCGCAAACACTTTTAAACGCACATCAGTTATGGTTGTTGTTATTATTGTTGTTGATATGTTTCTTTTTTCTGTTACGCGTATATAATATATTTTTTCTGATATCTATGCGTTGTAATTTCTTTCTACAGCCATCACTTTAAGGTGAATTATTTGTTATGTGTAGTTGTACGAGCGAGTATTTTGCAAGCGACCAAAACTTAAAAAACATTTATGTATTTCACTTTATTTATATTTGGAGTTCTACGGACGAGATCTCGAATTCGGTATTTCCAAACGTCAGCAAATTATATTGTATATATATCAAGAGCAAGTGGAAAATAATAAGCGAACTAACTGAAATAAACGAATATGTAGTATATGAATAAACGAGCGAACGTTTTTGCTGGTGATGCGCCACGGCAAACGAACGAGGAGCGAATGTCGTGACAATTGTGCTGCTATCACCCAATAAGCTACTAGCTGGCAGCGTTAACAACAGCGACAGCGAAAATTGCAACTGTTGTTGTCGATATCGCTAACGTTGAGCGCTCGTTAGCACACAGGTAGCAGCAGAGAAGAAAATAGCATATGTATTGTTGGTTTACAGGTGAGCGTTGGACAGCGAATAACGAAAGATAATTAACAAACATACCTTTTAATCAGCACTTACTTACTATTTATTTAATTATTTAAGAATTTTTTTAATAAAAACACTTTAAGAGAATATAACAAAATCAACAACCAACGAGCTCCAAATATTATTTCCGGTATACCGTTAAGTTAAAAGGGAAATAGTAAAAATGGCGCACATTGAGAGTAATGGCGCTGACAGACATGTCATTTCTCTTTTGAAGACCATGAAGGTTGCCATCCATTCGCAGCTCAGAGTTCAACCAAAAACTTCTGAAATGATGTTTGAAGGATGGACGTGAAATGGAACGCAAGATTTAAATTAAATACTCGTAGAAAACAAAGCATTAAATACATACAAATCTTGGATTAATTTTGGGACACCCTTTATAACGATTTTCGTATATTTGATGATTTCCCAAACCTCTCGGATTTGATCTCTGTCAACTGACATTATATTTTACATATTCGCCTTATTACCAGAGGTCGAATCGAGCGTTCCGTGAACGTATCGGCAGGCGTACGAGAGAAAATTCCGTAATACGTAAATCATACAAAATTATTGAGATGATGCCATAGGAAAACAAACGGATCGTAATTATTTGAATCTGTAATAGATTTCTTGTTGATCTTTTACTTTATTCTTTTACAATTTGAAACAGCTGTTGGCAAATGCTTAATATTTTGTCAAATAAAATCAATTAGGGCCGGCGTTTTACTTTTTTGTTTATCTTCCAATCAAAGTGATGCTGATGATTATTCTGAGTTCAAGGAAAATTTATGTTTGTATACTTTCTTCCACGTTTTGTTATCCTTATCTTGCGGGCCAACCATTCACTTTGACCTGTGTGCAGTTATTCAAAGTATTTATTGCTAAATTCGGATATGACCGCATGAGTTCCGCGATGAACTCCTTTTGTACCGCTTTAATTTTATTTGAATTTGTCATAAAATAATATTTTTTATAACATTTTAAAGTAAATTACTTACATTTTTATTGCTTGCTTGTTTACGAGAACAGTTTTGTAATCGAATGACAGTTCTTAACGAATAATCAAGACAACGAGTAGACGTTCAAGCAAGGCTTAATGCCAAATATTTGAACTTGAATGACGAGTTATTCGTTCACGGAACACTCGATTCGATCCCTGGATTATAAATATTCAATGTTTAAAATTTAAGCAAGAATGGCGAGAACGAAAAAGGTGGGATGTTTAGAAGTTGTAGTGCAGTCAAAAATAGACGACTGTTTTAAAGAACATATATACTGTGAATTGTTCATTGAAGTGGCTCATGTTTTACAGACAGAATTCGTGTCCTCTTTGGACCTTCTTTCCCACAATAAATTCACCTCGTAGGTATACGCAAACGTTCTTTGTCAGTTAAACAAACAAGTTAAACAAATCGAAAATAAAGAGCGTAAACTTGCTTTATCCACGAACGTATACCATTGTGAATTTACGATATATGCTGTTCCTCTTTGATCGTAATGAAATCTGGCATCCCTAAGCCTTTCTTAAAATTGTAGTTATAGCTGTTTGCAGAAAATATAAATAGGTTGTATGTGAAACAGTCATTAAAGAGTGCTACGTTGGTTTCTACGATGAAAAGAGTTTGTGAGTTTTGTGTTGTTGTGTTGTGCATTTGTTAATTAAGTAAAACAGTTTTACTAAAGTTCTCTGTGCAACTTCTATTGTAAAAACAAAAATAAACAACGTAAGGACTGTCACAGCTGATTGATCGTTTCATTTCCACTTTGTTTTTGTGAAGAATACATTTATTTTCGGCAGCGGAATTCAGAAATTTTGTTTGAAAGAAAGTTGAAATAATTCATTTGGCCGCATTAAAATGGCAGACGAATGGCCAGCCCAGAAATTTCGCCAATCGATCATTGCGAAAATGTAAGTATATACAGTTTTAGAGTTGTATTAAAAATTTCAAATTGCAATATATTTGTACGTAACTACCATTCATAATTACATTATGATTTTAGAAACCTTGCTCTACAAACAACGGATCCTACGAAAAATGCTGCGGTCATGGAAAATCATATCTTCAAGAAATCCCGCAACAAAGAGGAATATATGGGCTTGGTGGCTAAGCTATTCATGCATTTTCAAGATTTGGCACAAAGTAAGTATTTCTGCCAATTTATTCCACACATATACACATAAATATACACTTACACACCCCACAGTGTAAAGTGATTTTTGCCTAATTTATTCGATTTTAAAAATATTGGCTACGCAGGAAAGCCGACACAACCTCCGCCTCAACAAAATGCTGAAATGAATCAACAAAATATGATGCCGGATCCTCTAAACGCGCTCCAAACTCTTGCTAGTCAAGGTAATCGAAATGCACAAATGCCAGGCGGACCTAATCCCAATCAAATGGGACCGGGTGGACCTGTAGCTGCTTCGAATTTATTGCAAACTTTAAATCAACAACGGCCCGGCCAACAGATGCAACAAATGCAGGGTATACGTGGTCAAATGCCTATGGGCGCAGGACCGAACCAACAGATGATGCAGCAAATGGGTGGAAATATGGGTGGCGGAATGCAAATGAATGTAATTGGTGGTGGTGGTGGTATAGGTAATACAGGTGGTCAACAGCCGCATATGGTAGGTAATGCCCAGCAGCAAATGGGTGGTATGCCTGGACAAATGAATGCGATTGGCAGCAGTGGACCAGGTGGTCCGGGTGGACCTGGTGGTCCAACCCAGCAAATGCAAATAGGGCCAGGGCAAATGCAAGGGGGGCCAATGAATGTGAACGCAATGAACGTGCAACAGATGCAGCAAATGACACAGCAGCAAATGGCTGTAAGTATAACATTGTGCGATTTTTAACTGAAATATATTTATATCTATATATATATATGTATATATATATTTTTTTTTTTTAGCAAATGGGTATGAATCATCAGCAACTAAATCAAATGATGAATGCACGTTTGAACGCTGGCGGACCAATGGGACCGAATACTGGCCCTCAAGGAATGCAAGGCATGCCACCAAATATGCAACAGAACCAGAGTGGACCTATGCATGGCGGCAATGTAGTGGGCGGACCGCAGGGCCAGCAAGGTGGTGGAATACCACAAAACGCCGGTCAACAAGGTATGAGCGGAGTACTCTTTGTTACTATAAAGTAAACATAAATATGTGTATTTTGCTGTTATAGGTGGAATGGGTCAAATGATCGGCATGGGTCCAAACATGCAACAGAAGCCTAACATGCCGATGGGACAGGGTGGCCAAATGTTTCAGGTTAACCGTGGTGTGCCAGGCCAACAGCAACAGTTCTTGCGTCAAAGTCCCTCGCCAAGTACGGTACCTTCGCCGGCGGGTATGACGGCTGCTCAGCAGCAACTTCAACAACAACAACAACAGCAGCAGCAGCAGCAGCAACAACAGCAACAGTCGGCACAAAATCAACAACAGCAACAACAACAGCCTCCACAAATGGCTAACGCGCAAATGATACCAAGCCCAGCACTTGTGCCGACTTCAAGTCCACAAATGTCAAATCTCATGCAAAATTCACAGCGACAAATGCGCCAGTCGCCGAGTGCACCGCTCAATACACCCGGACAAGTGGCCAGCAATAGTCCATTTAACCCACAGGAAGACCATTTGTATCGCGAAAAATACAAACAACTAACGAAATATATTGAGCCGCTGAAGCGAATGATGGCCAAAATTGGCACTGATGGTGCAAGTAAGTTCTAAAAATAAAAAAGAAATAATTAACAGTTAATAAGAAGAGCTTTTTTTTTGTAAATTTGCAGATACGGAAAAATTCACAAAAATGAGTAAGCTTTTGGAAATATTGAGTAATCCAAATCAGCGCGTGCCATTGGAAACACTTTTAAAGTGTGAAAAGGCTTTGGAGAAACTGGATATTGTTAATTTTGCGGGCCAACAGTTTGGTAAATCTTCAAACCCCTTAATGGAGGTTGTGAATACGGCGCTACAGAGTCCGCTCGCAAATCATACGCTGCACCGCACGTACCGGCCTTGTTTGGAATTACTTTTTGGCACGGACATATGGTAAGTAAGCTGATAGCAGATTTAAAATTTCGTAATAAATACTTCTATATAAATATAATTTTTTTTTTCATAGCGCTCCAGCACCACCAAAAAGGCAACGCGTTTCGGAGAAGCCTTCTCAGTATGAATGTGAAATTCCACATATATTGCAGGGTGAAATAGCGCGACTCGATCAAAAATTCAAACTAACGCTGGACAACACAACTCAAAATAATCCGAAATCTATTAAAGTTGTTTGCTGTCTTGATGACAAACGTTTACCATGTGTTCCACCAATTACGGTTACTATACCAGGTAAGTAGATTTTCACAGAAAAAAAACTTAAAAAGCCATTTAAAAGTGGGCTAATTACTAGAAATTTTGAAATTTGATATATATGTTCTTTTTTTTTTTTAGAGGAGTATCCGTCGGTGTCGCCCTCTTGCGCTTTGACACAGCATGAGTATGGAACTACTCCGTTTTTGAAAGCTGTGCAGGATGCATTCAAAGCACGCATTGCAAAATTACCAAAATTATACTCCTTGTCTCACTTATTGGACACATGGGAGATGTCTGTACGTCAAGCGTGTTCACCAAGCACTAAGAATGTTTTAGATTTAGCTGCGGTATTTGGCGCATAAACAAATACTGGGTTTCGAAGATATATAATTTTTTTGCTTGCTTTTTTTAATTGATATTGCATATCGTAATTTTATATTTTTTACCATTCCTAAATATCTGATTTAAGCCTAACTTTTGTTTGTATGTCAATAATATATATACATTTTAGCACTATGTATAACTTTATGCATTTTATAAATATATAATATACATATGTATGTATATGTACTACATACAACCTAATCATTAGCGAGAGTTTTCATTTATATATTTTTTTTGAAGGGGAGATCTGTGCACTTTCTAGAATATGGTGTGCTCTCTCTATATCTCTCAGAGTAAGCCGGGCTGTTAACGAGAGCATAATTTTACTGGTAAAAGGTTTATTTAGAAATTTAATAAATATAAAAAAATTCACTTTGACTTCAGCAACGAGCGCGAGTGGTAGGGCGTTACAGTTAAAAAGGAAAAAAAAGTATAAGTACAGTTGTAAAATAAAAGTAAATTGGCTTGTGTGTGTCCTCTCTTTTTTTTGACAACGTTTAAATGTAAATTTTCGCAACAGAATTGGGGTTTTCTGGATCTAGTAAGTGTGGTTTTGGTGATTCATTTGTTTAATTTAACTTTTGTGGAGTCCCGTACGGCCGCAAATTGCCGACAGCACTAAAGTACGCACCTAAGAAAATGGCGTCGCCGCAAGACTAAAGTTACCTGTTGACCTAAACGGGGTTAGGTACGTCGCCGTCTGCAATGGCGGTGGCTCGCCGCTTCAATGATAATCTTAAACCCAAAAAAACCGAAAGTCACAAAGAACGATGTGACCAAGGATTTTTATGAGTTGTTCAGTAGTGGAGGGTCGGTAAGGATAGAAGATAGGAGTGGTCCAGTTAATGAAGCTATCCCAGAAAATGTTCTGACACAGCAGGGGTTAGGAACTGTACTCCTATGACAAATTCACAGTTGGATAAGAAAAAGGAAAATGCGGAATACCCGCCATTTTTAGGGCGACATTTTGTTTACTGGTTGCTACTTCAGCCAATACACACATTAATAAAGACAGGTTGACAACAGGTTTGACGTTTGACGTGAAGTAGTAAGTGGAATTCACCTATGTTTCGATGAAAAGAAAATCAAAAAATACCACCCCTAAGACAATGCAACAACTGCGGTCGTCTAGGACACCCGCAATTGTCATGCAAAAGCATGAGCTGTTGCAAGCCGGATTGTATAGTATCAAGTTGCACAAAGAAAGTATGCATTTTCTGTGGCAAAGAAGGCCACCAAGCCAAAAATAAGTACTTATGCCCACCTTGGAAAAAGGAGCTGATGGTTAATATAATCAAAACAATTAAAAAGCTCTCTAGAAAGGAAGTCTTAGAGCAATATTTCCCCAGAAAGAATAGGTTCAGTCTACTGGAAGTCGATGAGGACTCTTTCCCCAAGGAAAACAATCGATAAAGACTCTAACACAAGCAGAAACTTTACAATGAAAACGTATAGTCAAGCCATTAAAGGAGGTGCAAGTCAAGTTAGGCGACCATCTCCCAAACTAGTAAACGACCGACCAAGACGTAACTCTCCAAAACCCCTTTTGGTATCGCAATCGGAGCGCGTGATAACAGAATTTATCAGGCTAATACAAAAAATAACAATTGAGAGCAAAAACAATGATATTTGCAACGATCTACAAGCCTTTAAAGGACAATTTGACAACATAATGACATCGAAGGACAATGCAGAGATCAATGAATCCTCAAACTTTTCTGATTTTCTTGAGGATCTTGCAATATAACTGTCAATCACTACGTGCCAACATTGATTCTCTTGAATAATTTTACTTAAACGTGATTTTGACATCGCATGCCTTAGCGAATTTTATTTTAACCAGCACAACTGAGCATAGAAATATTATTACATCATACACTCCACTGTTGAGAACTCAGAAATACCAGTTCAAAATTTCAAATTTTCAAAAACCACAAAAGTTTTCTAGAAATATTTAGAAATAATGGCACCAACAAAACCACTCAACTATCCAGCTTTCTACAAGAAGCAAATAATTAAACTTTTAACGTTAATTTTACCCTAATCCCTATTATTTTTTGCAATTTTTTGTCTATATTAATCAACCATCCCGTAAAATAATAAATAAATAGAAACAACGATGTCACATCACCACAACGATGTCACATCACCACAACGATATCACATCACCGCATCAATGCTAGCACATCATATCACATTATTCAATACTAATTATTTTTTCTTATCAATACATTTACCAACAAGACGGATACATCTTTCAGATCTCGTAATTATTTTACTTTGAAATCTTATAAAAAAAATGTGAAACTGCCTCCATACGTACGTCAACAGTATTGGAAAGCGTTAATTTACTCTCGCGGTCAGGTCTGAGCCGTAGGATGGCAGATTCAAAACGAATGCAAGTCCACCTTATGCAGTGCAGGCAAAGCAGCGAGGCTCCTATGGACCGTAGTGGAGGCATGATCATTCTCGAGATGATAGTATAGGATTTTAAAAATCATTCTATCGAGTACTCCAATTATTTTTGTATCTTCTTTATTCTAGAACAATTTTTGCTAAATTTTGTATTTAAGTTTTGGCGTGGTCACCTGCTCCATAACGGTCTCGTGACGTCTTTAAAAGCTTGCCTTCTTTGTTTAAATAAACTGTCCCACTAGTACATAGTGGGTTTTGCCGGACAAAAGCCGGCCTTCAATTTATGATTATCTCTCATTCATTATGGTAGCAACTGATTTTCCTTGCTTAAGAAGAAATTTTATAACGGCAGTATATTAGATTTTTTCTATGTTTCACTTTTCACTCCCGATTATGTTGCTTAGTTGATGTTAATAATCCAAAGGTTAATTGCATAATAACTGTGAAACCTCGTATTTATACTAATAATGAACTCACGCCTTCCGGATATCAGTACGCAATGCTAACCACTCAGCTATCTGCTCTTAATTGGTGTAGACACCACTTATGCAATTCGTTTCTTCATATCGTAGATCGCTTTCAAACTGAAACACCAGGTAAAAACCCGGATATGGCCAATAGGGTAGTCTTCCTCCTGCTGGCGTAATCACCATCGGAAAATCTAGAGTATTTTCGCCCTCAATGAATGGTAAGGTCTAGTCTTAATTTGGGAACTATCTGTCAAAGTGGTCATATATCTCATACATCTTAATGTACCATCGTCTGCAGCATTTGCTGTTGTCAATTTGGCAAAGCACAATAAATATCCCACAGAACCTTTCTCACTAAGAAATTGTTAACAACTTATAGGGTTTGGTTCCGACTGTCACAGAAACTATTGGATTTGAGTCTTCTTCTACAAAAAGCATGCCTTACTATGAAACCCCAGCATTCCTATACCATTCGCGTTACGATCGATCACTTCGTTGCAAGATAGGCAAAGTCATTTTACTCTCTTCCATCGATAACAATATGATCGATTTGCTTTCTTGTCTAACGATCCGGTGTTACTGATAATCATTTCACATGCCCGGCTAGTTTGATCAGCCTAACATCATTTGTAGAAATTTCGTCGTGGGCATTGAAATTGGTGAGCACGATTCTGATATGGGATTGGGGTAGTGCTCATTGGCCCTCAAAGCTGTTGCATTCTCTTCTGATATTGGCGCAAATTAAAAATTTGAAAAATTTGACTGGTTTCAGTTCTGGTTTCTGTGGTGAGTGACCTTTTTAGTAAATGTCACAATCACGCACACCTTCCCATACTTCTCCTGTCCAGCGGATTTCGTGGACAACAGTCAACTCAGCTTCACATTTTGTGAGGGCATCAACTAGCTGCGCAGTTACAGCTTTCCACTTAAGAAACACGACATTCCAGACGCATGTATTGGCATTTTAATTCTTATCCATCAGAGACGTTGGAAAAAGGTACATACTTATGGAAGACATGAGGTAAATTCTGCCTTATGCTATCTATAACTCTATGTAAGCAAAAAAACTGTGGCAACAAGAGCACCTACTAAAAATTCTTCAATAAAATTTATAACATTTTTATTACTTAGCCCGCTTGGGAGTAGGCTAGATCATTTATTGAGGTCATCTAACGGAAGGTCAGGGAAATGATCCGTTTCGATGGATTAGGACCAGAGGCAGAGAGCGGTTACTCATTGCATGCATGGCATATTCAGATTATAGTTGTATCGGCACTGATATCGATGATGTCACCCGTTGGTGGATTTTAGAGATTCAATAACACTAAACCCATTTTATTACTAAGAGAGAGAGCACCCCATATTCGCAAATGTGCACGTGTCTCTCTTCTTAAAAAAAATTATAAATGCGGGCTTAGTCTTACCGCTATTACAAAAACATCATCAACAACCTGAGACTCAATATTTCGACAGTAAAATCAACAAACACGTCCGAATAATTAGCATCAAATCTCCTAGCTGTTGGCGTAAGCCGATGATATTCTCCAAATTGGATAAAGAAGTGATGTGCATGGTTTTAGTAGTGAACGGGGGCAAGACGAAATATCTCCTGTGATCACGCCGTGTCGTGTGAGCCACCCATAATTCCCGTCTTGCTATATGGTGCGGAGGCATGGACAATGACAACATCTTATGAGTCATTGTTAGCAGTTTTCGGGAGAAGGAAGGCACGCTGTTGTTAACTCGGCTTGATAATTGCATATGCGGTGTCCATGCCAGTAAAGAAAATATACAAAAATATTTTTTTTTGCATTTTCTGTTAACAACCTAATATTAACTGTTCACTATTTCATATTAACTGTTAACAATTTAACGTTACCGTTAACAATTTAACATTGTCTGTTAGCGATTGAACACTTTCTGTTAATTATTCATCATTATCTGTTAACGATTTAACATACATTGTCTGTTTAACATGACGATTTAACATGATATGTTAACGATCTAATATTATCTGTTAAGGGTTTAACATTATCTGTTAAGGGTTAAACATTATCTGTTAAGGGTTTAACATAATCTGTTAATGGTTTAACATTATCTGTTAAGAGTTTAACTTTATCTGTTAAGGATTTAGCATTATCTGTTAAAAGTTGAACATATTCTGTTCACGATTTAACGTGATCTGTTAACGATTTAACATGATATGTTAACGATTTCACATTAACTGTTAACGATCTAATACTATCTGTTAAGGGTTTAACATTATCTGTTAAATGTATAACATTTTCTGTTAACGATTTATCGTTACCTGTTAAAGATTCATCCTGATTCGTTAAAGATGTGACATAATCTGTTAACGATTCATCCTTATTTGTTAACGATGTAACATTAACTACAGCATTTTGTTATTTATTTTGATAACTGCTTTAACGGCATTATTTCAACTGAAACGAAAGAAATTTTTTGATCAACGTGAAATTTATCATTAAGATGATGCCTTGGTCTTTACGAAAGTAACTTCCCATAATTCTGTTTTCTTTGCCCAGCGCTGTATGATTGTTTTTTCTTAAAAAAATAGTAAATAAAACACAGTTGTATTATGATTTGATAGACACTTGGGAAACAGTGTTTACTTTGTATTTAAGTTGAAATTTTTTCAATGCATAAATTTGTCTTCAATATTTTGTATGCATCGCTCTTTGTTTTCAGGCTATTATTTTTTTTTTCTTTTTTGTTAATTTTTCTTAATTTTTTTCCAACTCATACATTACTCTTTACGCTTACACTTAATTACACATACGCATATATTTACATGCAAGTAAGAAAGTTTAGTAAGTAAATTTATATACATTTTATATTACATAATATAATAAATAAGCTGTAGTTACATACGCAAATACATATGTATGTATGCCTGTATGTTTTCAGTTTAAGAAAAACATAAATATCACAGATTTTTTTTTTACTATTTTTAAACATTTTTCATACGAAAGAGTTTCTTTTTCTCTTTAAAATTATTTGCTTTTAGTAAAATTAGCAAATAAATACAAACTTAGCTCTTAAAGGATAATTACAGAATTATAATAATTACTTATACGCTGTTAAACATAATTAAAACGGAATTACAGATTAAATAGTTTAATATTTAATTTAGCGGAAAATGTTGAAATGTGACTTGTGTTTGGTAGGGATGGTTAAAAGATTTGAGTTTGATTTGTTGTTTGAAGAACAGCGTTTGAAGGCCGCCTTCTTTTTCTCTAAATATAAATAAATACATATTACGTATGAGATTAAATACATTAGTTGCTAAACGCCTAAAAGTATGCCTGCCAGCATTTTTGTATTTTTCATGAATTTAATATTTTTAAGTAATTACTGAGTAATGCTTTAGTGCTTCTTCTTCTTCTTCTGATGTGCATATAATCAATTTAACAAGTCATATTCTTAAGTGAAGAAGTGGAAAGTAAAGATTCTCCGAAATTGGTACAAATGCCCGCTAGGCATATGTGTGTTTTTGTTGTTGTTGCTTTTTTTTAAATTTGCAACAAACGGTTTTAGTTCTAAGTCCACATGTAATCTTCCACTTCGTTATTGTTGTATTGTTCTCTAATTGAATACGTGTGTTTGGAATGACGGACGCAAGTCTGCTAATTCACATCGGGCAGGCCGCGATTTCGCGGCAATGCTTCAATGCTGTTGCAACAACTGTTGATGTTGTTGCTGCTCGGCAATAAAGGTAGTGAACGCCGTTGGCAATGCGCCAACTTGCTGCAAACGCAACAAGTCGCTGGCATTGCAGATTTGCAGCTGCAAACCTGCATTGACTGTTGGCGCTTGCTTGTTTGCCGCCGCTACTAACGGTGCACTGCTCGCTGGCGCTATTGGACGCAAATGTGTGGTATTGCTGTTGACACCAGCAGGCAGCTGTGCGCCGCCCACAGCCGACTGCTGTTGTTGTGGCTGTTGACCACTTGCTGCTGCAGCTGCCGCTGCCGCCACTGCTGCTGCCATGGTGGACGCAGCGACATTGCGATTGACACCGTTCGCCTTATCCTTGCCATGTCGTTTAATGTGTTTCGACAAATGATCGCTGCGCATGAACTTCTTCTGACAAACGCTGCAGACGAACTTTTTCTCGCCGGTATGTGTGCGCTTGTGACGCGACAGCTCGTCGGAGCGCGAGAAACGTTTATCGCAATTCTCCCACTTGCAAATGAAAGGACGCTCGCCGGTGTGCACGCGCTGATGCGCTTTCAAGTGGCTGGATTTGAAGTAGTTCTTGCCGCAGTTGGGATATTCACAAACGTAGATGCGTCGTCGCTCGGCGGCTATTTGCGCGGCGGTCATTTTGTGTACGAGTGTAGTGTTGGCAGTTGCGGCTGCTGCATTGATGGCATTGCCGCCGGTGACATTCTGCAGTAGGCTGTTAGTGGCGTTCAACACCAACAATTGCGCGGGAATGACTGTTGAGTTGGTGGCAGATTTGTGCGCTTGGGGCGCCGCAGCTGCCGTTGCGGGTGTTAGGTAAATACTTTTCGGTGCAATTACTTGATACTGTGGCGGTGTTTGGGTGGTGTAGATTTGTTGCTGTGTTGCTGCTGCTGCTGCCTGCACAGTCGGCAGGGTGAAGCGGAATTGCGCTTGTTCCAAATGCTCTTGAGATTTCAACTGCGTGTTGGTGGTGGTCGTGGTCATGGTGCTGCTGGTGTTGGTGGCTTCCTGTTTCTCCGTCTGCACAGACGCAGGCGCTGAGAAACTATTGCAACGCGTACGATTCATTTTGAACTTTAAGCTACGCCACACATTCGTTTCACTGCTATCGTCATCCGACGTAAGTAGCGGCGCTTGTGTGTTAGAAGAACAGCTACTACTACTCGTGGTAGTTGTTGTGGACGCTGCGGAGGCGCTGGAAATGGTTGATGAACAGGAGTTCTCGTCGATGGTGGAACAAATTCCTGAGCTGTTCACATGCATAATAACGCTAACGCGCTGCGATTGCGGTTGTTCTTGCGTTGGCATGTGCTTCTGTATTTCGGGTGGCGGTGTGAGTGCCGCAATTGGTTGTGGCAATTCCAGACGCTGCTTTTTGCATGGTGGCGTTTCAGTGTCATCTTCTGTATCAGAGGGATTTGGTGTGATTATTTGTTGCTGCTTCTTCTTCTGTTGTTGTTGCTGTTGGCCAAATTGAAATTTAGCTTTGAGCATCTCCTCTTGTAAATGCTGAACCGATGGTTTTTCATCCTGCAAGAGAAAAGAAGAAAATAGTTGATTAGAGAATTTGTAAAAGACAAACACCAGCAGCGCCTAAATGTAGGCAATTATTTGTAAGTAAAGGGTAGTGTCGACAAGAAGAGTTCAAGTTTTTTTTGATGATTTAAAGGGGAAATTAAAAATATATTTTTATTTGTTATTGTGGTTGTTGTAGCGACTATAAATATTTTTGTTTGTTTCTATGTTATTTCAATTTTTATATATGCCCAGAAATTTTCTTTGGTCTCTCAGAAACAAAATAAATATAATAAGCAATTTTAAAATATTTTTTTTATTTATTGCCTATTTGTTAATTATTTTAATTAATTTTTATTTTTTGTATGTTTGAAAAAACTCCTCAACCATTCGAATGAGGTCAGTCACATTTTTAACAGCTGCCATGCGAATACGTAGTTACGTACATATGTACATACATTATTTATCGCGCCGCTCTTTCACAAAGCCTTCGTCGTTCTAAAGCTCTACAAAGTTTTTGAACTTGAATTGGCTTAGTAGAATGAACGAAACGCTTTAAAAGCGCGGCAAATTCATATTCTCACTGGAACTCGAGGTCAAATGCGCGGCCGACAAAATGCTATATACATACATATTTTAAGAGGTCACTAACGCCAGCCAACGCAAGTGGCGCAACCTCAAGCAAGTAACGAATTTAGCCAATGCGGCGAACACGCTTGGTTATTTATGCTGATGATTGCTACCCACATAGAGAGCACAGCGCCACCACAACACACGCTAGAGACGTACGAAAAAATATCTACCTTTCGGAACGTACGTAAGCGCCTACCAGGCGCGCATAAACGCCTGCGACAATACCCAACGACCTAGCTGGCGTTACGTGCCTTGGCGCTCGCTTAAAAGTGTACATGAGCAAACCAATGGGGGTAGCGTATGGTATGGCGAAGAGCTGTATATAGAATGAGGGGAACAAGAGAGAGAGAGGGAGATAGAGAGATAGAGAGAGAGCGCTTACGCGCGAGAGCCTCAGGCCAGTTGTTGTTGAGTGCCATAAAATACGTAAGTGAGCGTGTGCGCTAAAAATAACCCATAGGCACTCGGGCATAATCAACCGCCGCCGCCGCCGCCGTCATTGAGGTGTGTGAGCGAAGCAGAAAAAAAATGATATTAAATAAATCTTTATTTCACTTGGGTACATAGTACAAAGTATGGCACGCACCCACTGCATGACAGTGCTCTAATAGCAAGAATAGCAACAAAAACAACACACATGTATTTACGTATGTGTGTATATACATACATTTATCGACTATTTGCCAACGCTTACTACGTCATTGTTATTGTTTATGCCATAAGCTGTGTAGATACATATTTAACGTGTGGGTAGGTGATACATATACATATGTATGTGTGTGTGCTTGGGTGTGCGGTGCGGCAGGTGTTCAGGCGTTAGTGTTGCTGCGGGTATTTTAAAATTTTTTCTTCTCTTTTTTGTTGTAGATATTGGACTTTATCATCATAACGCAGATGCGTAATTTTTGTAATTTTTGTAATTTTTGTAATTTAATCAACTGTTACCAATAAAAATATTAAAAAATAATATTAATAATGACATCTATTTTATTAGCATGCCATTGAGATAAGCGTACATTGATTTACTAATTTAAACTATTAAAAAATAAAAATAAAATTTCCTATGAACTTTTATAATTTCATGTGCGGCAGAAGATGAATCGCATGTACATTTGTATGTTTGTATGTACTCCTCCCTGATGGGCTTGTCGCGAGATTAGCTAGTCTTGTCTCACGCGCACTTGATTAGATAGTGAGGCGACGCTGACGCCGACGCCGACGACAATCAAAATGTCAATAAATCTCGTGTTTAAACATTAAACAAATTAATTTAGAAATTATTTATAATTTGGCTACATAAAAATCATAATAGACTGATATGCTTAATCTTAAAAGGCAAAAATAGCAACAAAATGAATTAAACGAAACGAAATACAAACATTTTTAAGTACAACTGAACGACGTCAGCAATCTCCCCTTTTTTAATAATAATAATACTGCGCTGCTCAAGCATTCACGTAGTCAGATCGTGCACAACTATAAGTGAAATAAATTTAATAAAAATACAACACTGTGCGAACACCGCCCCACTTTTTTACCCATTTACGTATGTATATACTGTACTACCATGGTCTCATGCTCTCACGCGCTCTCGCTCATAAATACATTGCATATCAACGAGCGCACAACAGCCGAATGAATGTATCATCCGCTACCCTAGCTATGTACATATATTGCCTTGGCTAGAGTTTAGTGAGTAGTAAGGCAATAAAAAAAAGGAAGCAACAATAACAACCATAGCTCAATGAATAAGCAGCAGAGGCAAGGCATTAATCTACATGCATACATACATATGTAGGCAGCTAGCAAAGAGGTCGTGCAATATATGTACATATAAATGTGCTCACAATTGTACTTGAGAGCGTACAAACATATATATATATATATACATAGTATAGGCCAGAGTCACAATTTGTTTGCCAATTGTATGTATGTTTGTATGTGATAGTATGTATATTTGTATATATGAAAGTATGTAGTAGATTTGGAGGCATGACGACCATGCACTGTTCACGTGAACACCAGCTGACGACCGAATGAACACGGCGTGATCACAATGCCGGCATTGAGTGTGAAAGAGATAGTGTACATTTGTTTTCATAAAATTTGTAGGTGCGAAAGTGATGGGCGCAGCGATAAATAAGTACAATTTGTTTTTTTTTTTTTTCTTTTACTAGGCACACGGGTGAGTGATGCATACACACATATATACTCTAAAAGTGTGTGTATGTATGTGCTATAGCAGATACAGCGTGTGAATGACTGTAGGCGGCGGTTAAGGTAGACTGACATACGAAAATGCAGACGCTTTGTCATACTTCTTGACTTGAGCGTAGGTATGCATGTATGTATGTATGTATTTGTTTTTTCTTCTGCCTTTACTTTATGCTTAGCGTGGTCGTAAAATGCGATTTTCTAGTATTTCTTATTTAAGTTTCTTCAACTCATTTATTTATTTCTTTTGCGCATATATAAAAAAAACATCAAAGGTTTTGAAAAAATTCATACATACATATATTTCGCTATAAATAGCAATTGCATTATTTATTGAAACTGCAAGTGAATTTCAAATTCGTTAAAAACAAAAAAAAATAAATAAATTAAAAGCAACAATTAATACATACATCTTGTACATATATAAATTTAGTATGAAGTCATTGGCAAGCAAATGCAATCACAACAAAAAAGGGGGAGTGTGCATCCGCTGTGAAAGCATTTACATTTACATTTATGTATGTACTATGTACATTTGCCTGCAACGCATTTCACAGGCAATGCAGCGCTCTCGTTTTATTTGATGTTGTTATTGCTGCTGCTGCCGCCGCTTTTTTTTGCTGCTTTTTCGCAAAAGTTAATAACAAATTTAATGTGCCACTCGTTGAGAGCGTGCAACACAAATCAAGCCCCTACATACATGCAATATATGTACATACTTATACACACACATACACACAAATGTCCACTTATTACTTTGACTGCTGCCTTTCAAAAAAAATAAAGGTTTTTTAGATTAAAATATTTATTGTTTTTTTTCCCGTTTCACTAGTGCATAACTAAAAAAAAATACATATTTAAGTATAGTAAACGGCGAGGCAATAAATTAATAAACTTTCTAGAAGGTGAAGTTTGTGAATATATTTAATTTTTACACATTTTATAATCAACTAAAAATCATATAATTTTTTTTTAGTTATAATGTAAAATAATACAGATGAATATTAAAAAATAAAATTTATTTTTCCTTAAAACAAATTTTCATTTTAATTTAACATAATTTGATTTATATTTTATTTAATGAAAATTATTATTTTTACATAAAAATTAATTAATTAAATTAAAAAATTAAAAAAAGGCATATTTAATTAAGAATTTTAATTTCCTCTATTAAGTTGATCGAAAATTTTCATATGAATATTGTTAATTTCGAAAATATGTTAAATACAAATTTTAAAAAATTATTTTACAAAATTTCTTTTTAGCCGCCGACTTGCCAGCTACATACATTTCTCAATTGACACTTTGCCAATAGTGTAAATCAGCCACTCCCACATTTGTCTCTAACACTACACTTTATTTCACGGTTTTTTTTCTAAAGTAGAAAAATTTTCCGTTCACGTTTTTTTTTTCATTTTCGCTCAAAAATATCCGCATACTTACAGCTTCGCTTTGTTTTTCGCCCAGTGGTGGTGTTGCTGGTGGTGATGGTAATAACGGGATATCCATTTTGTTTCTTGTTTGTGAACGATTAGAAATTTTGGGATTTCTTGTAATGGAGCTTATACCCAAATGCTGTTGTTGTTGTTATCCAAAGAAATGCGTTTAATCAACTGTTTTTTTTTTATTTAATTATATATATTGTATATAGAGCAGTTTATTTGTGAAAAATTCGAAATTTTCAACACTTTTGCACAATTCGGTTTTTCAAATATTTTCTGTTTTTCCTCTTGCACTTGCACTTTTCAAAGCAATGTCTTTATTTATTTGCCTTTGCTTTTTTTTTGGCTCTTTACAACTTTATCACTTGTATTTTAGTTCCTTTTTTATTGTTTGCTTCTCTTTTGGAAATTGTTAATAAATTCTTTGTATTTTTCTCTTCTACTTTTTTATATTTATTTCTTTTTTTTTCAAAGAAAATTTCAAACCTTTTATTTAATATTTCTTTCTTTAATATTTTCAACTTTTTGTTTTTGTCTTCTTGCTAGCCAATCGGAGCTGAGCAGAGAATATGGAACCGTTCCGTTCGATATTCAACAAACGAATGAAAATATTTTGATGCCTGCCGCTGGGAAGCCAAGTCGGTTTTGGTCTGTTGTACTGCGCAAAGCAGCGACGTCGACAGAGCGACGCTACTTTGCCACTGGGTGTTCAGGCACATGCACAGTGAGTGATTGTGTTGAACTAGTTGTTGTTGTTGTTGTTGTTGCTGTTGTTGTCAGGGTTTATTGTACGTGGAGTTCACGTTTGTTAGCTGTTGGCTTTAGCTGGCGTTTTTCGACGTTGGTGGACGTTGGCGGACGTTGGTGGAGTGGCGTTTTGTTGCTTATGATGACGGAGTCAATAGTCGCCTGTTTTTGCGCTTAATGAAATGTATGTAGGTATTATGTTGTTGTTGGATATTACCAAGAGTTTCATTGTGTTCTCGTGTATGTATGTATGCACACACACATACTATTGACTACGGACGACTGGAGTTGTGCGAAAACCCTGGCGCGCGCTGTGCGCTGCAATTCACAAGTATTCAATGTAATGTGCGGGAGTTTATGTACTTGTGTTGGTATGTACACATGTATGTGCATGTGTGCAAGCAATTATCAATACCTACATATGTATGTATGTATGTATGTGGGAGGGAGTGTCCGGTGCGCGCTTTGCACTCGTCATCAACGTAAAAAAAAGTTTTGACGCCTTATCGTATATTAGTTGAAGTGTTTGTTGTTGTTGTTTTGTACTGAATTTACGCTGTTAGCACGCACATATGTATGCGCATACATATGCATATACGCCTCAAAGTTTAAAACGCTGCATTCGTCACGCCTGCCCACACAAGCAGCGCCCTTCGGTCACCCACATTTTTGTACATACATACATATATACATTTGCATAAATATTAATATATGTACATATATGTATATGCATATGTATAAGTACATATGTACATATGTACATATACGCATACATAGAAACTTATGAGTGACCGTACGAATGCATTGTGGCAGGTGAAGGTAACTTGAAGTCGATATATATTGTATATATATAAACACATATACATACCTACATACATAAACACACACAACCGATATGTAAAATATGAGCGCAAATGAGAGTGTTGAGCTTGTGCAAATGTTTGCAGGTGCGCGTGCAGATATTAACGCTGCGTAGGTTGATTGAAACCGATGGAATAATCAGGAAAATTCCATAAACAAACAAAAATATAAAAAAAAAAAATTAAATTATATTGAGTTAGAGAAATGTCAAAGACTTGGCTAAAAAGGTAGGCAAAAATATGAAAAAATTTAAAAGACAACCAGGAAAACAAACTTACATATATAAGTAAAAATATATATATGTATATGTATATGGACATGCATGCATTTCTAAACGTGTATATTTGTTTGTATACACGGTACATACGTCGCGTATACGTAATAATCTTAGATATGTCTATATATAATACATACATATGTACATGCATTCATACATATACACACGCTATAGTTTTTTCTTTCGACTTTAACTTCGCTTACAAACTTCATTTTTGCTGTGCCCATATTTTTGTTTGCATATTCATATGTATGCATGTATGCATGTATGTATGTACATATGTATATGCATTATATTAATTTTTATATGCGAAATTTCGTACGAGCCGTGCCCCTATTCCCAAGCGATTTCATTCGCATATTACTTCAAACATTTATTTTTCACTTTTTCACTTCCTCACCTTTTCACTGCTTTTATCTTTTATTTTTGAGCTTAAATTTTACGTGAAATAATTTTATATCTCATTTTTACACTGCCATAGATTGTGAGGCATTTTGTGTCTGTGACATATAAAAACGTACACATACACAACCTTCCGCGGCATACAAACATACATACTTGTATGTACGATTATGTACGAGCAAAATCAGTTAACCAATCAACAGTTGCTTCAGTTAAACTTATTATATATACATATATTATATGTAAGTATTTCTCTTCTGTGCTGAAATATCTTCGCGAATTATTGATAGATTAAACTAGGAAATTCTAGAAAGGTAGATCCCCTAATTTGTCAACTTTATGATGATTCATCAATATGATTTGATGACTCATAGGTAAATTTCGAAAAAGGACAGCGCAGTTTTCAAAGTGTTTGAATTGATCGTATGACAAGAGAGCGAGCGAGCTACCTCAAGGTATGGAAATTATATTCAGATTATAAAGAGTTTTATTTTTGACAATTCTTCTTCAAAATTTTGCAATGATTTGGTACTTAATATAAAAAAAATTTCTGTTGAATTTTTATGACTCAACGCAGACATTATGATGACTCATTACGGGAGAGAAAATGGTTGCATTGAGAGAGTGTTTAATAAAATTTAGAAAAATATATATATATATGTATATGTAAATAGTAAATATGAAAGGTAAGCCTTTTTGCACCTTTCGGACTCTATAATGACACACGAGGCAAGTTTGAAGGTTCATTTCTAAGTGGAATTGAGTAAAAACTTGCCAGCGGGAGTAGAACTAAAAGCCTAGAAATGGAAACTTTTTATATCAAAATTGTTCTTAAAAAATCTGCAAAAACTTTAACATAAATTTAAATTTTTCTCTTGAATTTTACTCATCGTTGAAAATTTAAAGACTCCATTTGAAAGAGATCATAGTTGCTTTGAGAGAGAATTTTGCTGGCTTGAATAACAACAAAGTTGGCGATGGCGGCCTGTTTCCAGACGGTTGAACTCTAAGTGTGCTCTATTCAACTAACAAAAAAGAGACCCCACAAGCTGGTGGAATAAATCTCTTCAATATCACATATAAATTCACGCTATACGATTGAGTGAATGAAGCGACACTAACAGTTCAGATGGAAGTTTGGCTTCAGACCTATAATTGACCAGAAATATATCACCATGCGCCAAATCTTGGAAGAGGTCCTTGAGAAAGGGATCGACACATCCCACCTTAATCGTCGAATTCAAAACACGAAAGCACAAAATGAGCTGTTTCCATGACGCCATATCTGAATTTCGTATCCCCGTTAAGCGTATGAGACTGTGTAAACTGACGCTGCGCAAGATCAAAAGCTCCGTCGAATCAGGAGGGACTTATAGAAGCCGTACATAATTTTCGTCCTGCTATATGATGCCGAGGCCCAGAGGGTATTAACATCTGATGATTCGGCGTTAAGAGTAAGATTTTTGTTTATTAGGGCACATTCGCCTATGGTTTATGAAACAATGAACTGTACGAGCTATACGGGGCCAGTGACATTTGTCAGCCGATAAAAATTTCGGAAGCTACATTGAAAGAAAGGAATCAGTAAACCAGAAATTAAAAGCTCACTCGACTACCTTTTCACTCTAAAACTTTGTGGATTTTCAAAAAATATGAAATGTATGAATGAAAAAAAATATAGGAGAAGAACCATCAGAACGAGATAGAATGGATGCACGAACTGCAGGACCGCTAATATCTATCTAGCAATAGAAGCGATCGGTCTATGGATGGCATATGCGGCAGTCGACAGTTCCACCAAAAATTAGAAAAGCCGCTTTAAGAGACAATATAAGCTATTTGGAGAATTTCGGAATGAAAACGTAAAATTATGTAGAGAAAATGGTGATTATTACGTTTGAATAGAATATTTGAGTGATGGGATGAGTGCTTGCTTAGCTGGAATTGGCCAAGGCTGCTTTTCTAAAAAAAAACACAGTTCATATTGTTAATTTTAAAGCAAATCGAGAAAATTTTATATTTTTGATTTATTTTGGTCTTGCTCTGGAAAAGAGTCAAATATGAATTTAAAGAAACATGAAAGTTTGAATAAAAATTCTACAAATATATATATAATTTTTTGGGAAACGCAGGATGTAAATGACTCATAGAAATAGCAGACTTTTTGAAAAGAGCGCAATAGAAAGAGATGGAGATAAAGAGACCTTACATCATCATCACATCATTTTGAGAACATATCGGGTCAGTCTTCATTATAACAGGTATGACAAATGAAAAACATTAATGTAAAAGAGAAACGATTGTCCATTATATTTGGCGTATAGAAATAATTTTTATTTAAATTAGTTTTAAAGCATTTTTTAGAATTTCATTGTAAAAATTATTGTAAAATTATTATAAAAATTTTGTGTAATATTTTAAATGTTAAAAAATATTAAAAATATATAAAAAAGAAATATTTGAAGCAGACACACATATATATGTATGCATTTGTATTCATATTCGCACATATATAGTTGAGTATTTATGTATATGAAAAAATTCACTTCTCACTTTGTTGTCAATTGCAAAATATTCGTTTACGTTGGCAAGGCATTGTAGCAGCAGCATGAACTCAAAAAAAAATTATAAAAATATACCGGACCTTAGGTGTGTCAGAATAGCTTATTGTGATCATTCACTGCGGCGATGAGGTAAGTACAATGGTTGAGGGAAGGTCATATGAATGCATAAACATTAAAGCAAATGAACTGCTGCTACATACATATGTATATATGTATATATAGATACATGTATATGTATGTGAGTATTAAAGTTATGTGTTTACTTGATCATATACATACTTACATACATACATATATACATATGTATATCGGTATATAGCGAAGCTTGAGATCATCGCTGTTTCAGAGAGAGAGAGGTAAAATATTTATATAAATAGGTATGTACATAGTATAACGTTTTTACATATGTATGTAAGTACATACACACCTAACAAAGCACACTTAATTATTATTGTAGAATTGGAAAAATCACGTAATAAAGATATTAATATTTTTATTGCTGTTTTTTTTATGAAATGAAATGAAATGAGAGTTTTAGTCATTATTTAGTCATTACAATATCATATAATATTTACATTGTGCATATATGTGCATATTTGTACATGTATCCGTAAAAAGTGAATTTTACAATTTTATATTTTTTTAAAATTATTTCTCATGTCTCTTAACGTTTTTTTTTTTTTTTTTGGCTAAATATAAGCCAAAATAAAATATTTACCTTCAAAAATATTATTACACGTGTATTTGTAATCATGTACATAAGCATGTTAACTCACTTAACATTTTTTACTTATAAATATATGTATATAGATCGACCGCACATTCCATACGCCAGTCTACTACAGACTTATTCGCGATCTCT